GGGGTGGGGGAGGGGTGTAGCGGATTGCTACTTTATTCAAGCCTGACTGACTCAGAAATCTCTATGCCAGATTATCCTACATCTAGCTAGACTCCCAGAACCAGCTAAGCTATAGCCCAGGTATGAAAGGAAACAGACGTGTAGCACGGAGCACGTTTATTCAGGACGGGTATTGCGGATAAAGTGTGTTCACGCAGGGAGCTACTCATGATCAGGATGGAGGGTTAGGTTAAACAGAGGTTAATGACTGGTCATTGTTTGTACGGTCGCACCTCCCAATCCTGGCGAGCAGACATGCAGGCATACGATGGCGGACAGAGCGATAACGTGTCCCACAGGGGTGAGCTACGCTCAATTCAATGGAAGCATCTAGTCAGTATTTATTCATTTTCTCTACCTTCTTTCCTTTACATTCGTCCAAATTCTTGCATTAGCAAAAGAATACACTCGTAAGAAGGGAATATAACAGTTTTTTTAAAAAAAACAATTTTTTATTTATTTTAAAGAAATTTGCATTCATTCAAGTCACAATAAGCCTGAAATCGCCCCTAAATAGCAAGAGATTCCAAAATTTAATTAAAGATGCATTTTTCTTGAAATTTTTAAATTAACGCCAACAGAGTAAATGTAAGTATAGTTAATGTAAGAATAGGCATCTTTCTCACGTAGAAACACGACCTGTTCCCAACTCCCCTAATTGAATAGCGCCATTTGAGGAAATGCATAAAAATTCCGCCTCTTTATTCTTCTCCCTTGAATAGATTAAAGGATTTCTGGACTCCTAAGAATCGCCATCAACTCAACTTTTAAATTTGGCCAATTAGGACACTCACTATTTTCGCCAACTGAAGAAATTCGAAGTGCGACTGGCATTGAGAAGATTAAACTATTTTTCACACTTAAAAATCTTTGTGGCCCAAACCAATTTTACCCCACATGTTCATGAAGACTTCAAGAAATACAGTAGAATACTTGGTTTCTAGATTGCATCACTTTTTCTTAATCTGACATTTTCGCAAACAAGCCAAACATACCTTAAATAAGAGCAGACATTAAATGCGAGAAAAGGACTGAAGAGTTTGAAAATTCCTAAGCCAAAACAAAGAAAGCTTTCATTTGCCCCCAACTCTCCTTGAGACATTTTCTTCCAGCCAGAATAATTGAGCAGTACATTGAAAGCCAGTGTGTGTGAACGTTGTTAGCACAAGGGAGAGAAGACAATTAGCTGCGACGGCAAAGGCTTAACAGGAGAAGACTGTCAGCAAACCAACGGAAATCACATCCAGGTGGTGGGTTAATGCTCAAAGTTGAGGAAATGAAAGCGAATGAACTTCGTTTAAGATTGTGGAATGAATCGAAAACGAATTGAGGCGAAGCTGAAAAGCTGGATTAAGTTGATAACTGTACTTTAAGAGCACTTCAATGCAGCTAATATGCGAAATGAAAAAAGGGACGCCGTCTTTTGAAAAGTCAATCACATAGGCAGTTAGACAGACAATGATTCGCCTGGCTAGAGCGACCGAACGCAAAGTAACTATTCATTTGGCATAGGGAACGGGAGAGGGGTAAAAATTGGTCAGAATTTAAGTAGAATAAGTCAGGACATTGACTGGCATAAGTTGATTGAAACTAGAACCAAAACATCATAGTAAATAAGTCATTAGCTGGCCTAAAGAAATTCGCTTATTACAGCGTAGGTAAGCCTTATATTTATTTGCATAAATATTCTCGAGAAGTTTTAACTTTGAAATATTTTGTGAGCTGTCGAAATGTCAAGATTTGTTCTTTTTGTCACTAGGGGGGGGGGGGTTGAAATGCCTCCTACATTTGAGATCATGTCTCCTTATCTAGTTTGTTGGAGGAGGAGGAGGAGAGAACTTCCAGCCCTTCAATTTGCTCACGTTGTTGCATTTCTTTTAGCAACGGTAAGCAGAGAAGCCACCGGAGCATAGAGGCGTTGTCACGTGGCAGTGGGAATCCTCTGGGGAGTGAGAGCACTACCCCGACGGCCTCCAAACAGCGTCTTCATCGATCAGCAAGTAGAGAGGATCGCAAGCCTTCGTGGAAGGGCTGGATTCGTTTGGTTAAGCCGGATCCTGGAGACTCATTTGGCATTGGGCTCTCAAAAGGCCTGTCATCGCGAGGAATTTACGTTTCCGCCATTCGTCCAGGTTCAGTGGCTGATACATCTGGACTACTTCAGATATATGATCGAATCCTCAAGGTAATCGCACTTTAAATGATTAAATTTAACCATTATGCAAAGAATATAAAGAACAAATGAAGTGATATTTCAAGCTCTTTCAATATATATTAACTAATCTGAAGTACTCACAAATTGAGTTATTTCTAAAAAAATTGTACAACCACGTGGCGCATTTCAGCATTCATCGGACTTTGGCAACATTGTTTTAGCGGTAATAACAAATAAGGTGAAGTGGATGAAGAAGGAGGTACGCTTTGTTAATCTGCATATTGATGGTTGAAATCTTATTAGCAACATGGTAGAATTCTCCCCGATCAATGTGTCCCAAGGAGGTGCGTTGATTCGACTCATGCTTACTCCCCACTTCCAATGTTTCATTCACGAACGAAACACCACTTTCAAAATGGCTAATAGCTTTGCATATATAAGCACCTCCCTTCGCAACAATACTGGGTCCTTATGAGCCCTTGCATGGAGGCCACATTCTACTTCGGAGCTTATGGGGTGTGGGATAGACTTACCTCCTCGTGGTACACCCTGGGCAACGTTTAATCATACGTAAAAAGTCTATTAACCGGCAGTTGACTTCTCACTTCAAACTGCCATGACTTGACTGACTGTATGTCATATTCGACCGCTTTCACGGTACTCATCTTACCCTTTCTGAGCCTTTGTGTCTATCTGTTTCTTTTACATCTCTGAATCACTCTTCTATTCCCCCTCCCAAATTCTTCTCACTTTGATGTTCCTCCTCCCCTCTGTGAAGCCCGAAGTCAACTAAAGGGCGTCTAATGATGACTATCAAACGCCTGCCATTTGTTATAAATAACTTCGGAGCTTATACTAGGAGTTTGTAAGCTTACGCTGTGTCATTGGAAAGGAATCTTGAATTAAAGCAGAAGAAAATTGGCGCTCATTCTTCCAGGCAGTAAAGCTGGTAGTTGAATGGGCAAAATTTTCTGCAGGTATTATGACAGAATTTGATTGCTGATAGTCTCTTTTTGTTTCCGATTCCATAGGTGAATGAGCTCTCGACGAGGGGACGGACGTGTCGAGAAGTGGTGGCTATGATACGAAGATCGAGTCCCGTTTTGGATCTCTTTGTTCACCGACGGCGTTGAAATTTACCTGCTTTATAAATAGACCCCTTCTCCTATTCTAATGTGCAATTCCCACTAACTTTAAGTAGAAACTGCTGAGATTTATATATATATATATATACAGATATATATAAACCGAAAAGCACAACTCATATAGATAAGGGTAATATTAGACGGGAGAGGTACATTACTACGCTCAAGTTATTCATTCCTTCAACCCCCAGCCCCCCCCCCACCCC